AATGAATGGGATTGTGTCGCTTTGCTGTTGCGTGTCGCTTGTAGTGTGAACAGGGCTTTAGTTGGGGGCATCTAATATCCAGCAATATTAATGAATCGACTGTACTGACAAGACTGGATGAGAACTGAACTGAGCTGGATGATGACATTACTGTTTTCTACAGAGCTGAACTCATTTCATAATTGATATTCTTGAATGGAACTGAATCAACACTGAACTGACCTTTTATAGCTGCTTTACAGCAGAATTGCTCTCTGAACCATCACTGAACAATTATTTTTCTGTTTGAAACAATCTTTACTGTATAAAGTGCTATATAAAGAAATGACTTGACTTAAAATTAGCAATCAGTTTTGCACTGCATTTGAAAATGCAAAAATCTACACTGAAAAAAAAATGGTGTAGGATTTACTTTGAAGCTATTTTCACTCAGAAATTACTAGTAAATTTCACAAATAATTACACAGATGGGCCCATCCAGCGCTTCCTCTCACTGTCTGTCAGCACATCTCCGTAGAACCCGTAACCCAATAGTGACACAGAGTAACGCAGGAAATGGTCTTCATTGTGCACTGAGCAGACATCCATTGGCTGAGAATCACCTGCAGAAAAAGCCAAAACACAGGCTGATAACATCAGGATTGTGTGCTAGGATGCCACATCTAAGAACAGAGCACACTGCAGCAAAATTAGATCCGTTTCTGTGAAAGTAGCACACTAAACATTTTCCATTTTGGTGTAATGCTTTATTTATGCAATACGTCACTCAAAGCTGTAAGTTACAGTGATTTTAAAAATACTGTTTTGTATATTGTAACTATTGTTACATTTTAAATGCCTTTACTTTCCAGTTTTTTCAAAACAAAACAAAAAATCCTAATATAATTGGATTTATATGTCATTGTAGCATCTGCTATTTACAAACACAGGCAGTGTTTTATTTAAATAGTACTGTAGAATAATTGAATCATTTTGAACTTATTTACAAAAATGATATAAATAAGAGTCACTATTAACACATCTCTTTCTTAGGTTCGAGGACAAGAAACAACATGCTTAAAAAAACAAAAAAAAAAACATAATAAAAATGTCATCTGGATTATTATCTTTTTTTTTTTATTTTTATAAACCACAAATGCATGACAAGTTGCTCACTTCAGAAAAGAAAACCAGAATCTCTACTAGTTGACACATTTCTACCCTTGCATGAAACATTCTGTCATAGAGCTCAGTCCTAGCTTTAAAATACTAAAGATACATTTGCATAAACATACTGTACATACATAGCTAGATATGTGTATCATACTGCAGATATGGAGATGACCACTTACCCACAACGATGTGCAGTGCTGAGGTGACAGGGTCATTTGAGCCAACTGTTGCGTAGCATATACAGTCAGTCGAACCTGTTTCAAAAACACATTTCATGGGTCAGGGGTTCAGAAATGGCCTAAATCCATCTCTCATAATTCACTCTGAAGGTTAACGTATGAAAATCACACTTTCATTTTCAATTTTGGTGGCACACGGGGGCAGCTGCAATCTAACCTTCAATTGTGAACACTAACCAAACATCACAAGCCAATGGAGTTTTTGGTCCATTCAGCCCTTGTGAGAATAAGAAAGTTTTTTTCGATCTTGCAATGATTGTTGCTGAAGCATTGCAGGGCACTGTTATATAGAGAGATGAGATTTCAAATGAGTTCAGCCCTCTTACTGTCTCTTATATGCTGTCTGGTAATCTAATCCCTCTTCCTCAAATTGCTTATATAACAGCGTGAGGTTGAAGATTTAAAAACACACCGACTGCAATCTGCAAACGTGACAAACTGATCATTTCATGATCCCATTATTGTTTCCACAAAGGTGGAAAAAGTTTATAGTTCATGTTAAAAGTTTGTATATCATGATACAACCATTTAAAAAGCAAAAAACAGCATGTTGCTTAAATGTCAGTTCCGTAATGTGGCAGTACCATGATACAGTGACAGTATTACATAACATCCATATACCAGGTGTAACGCCTGGACAAATCAGACACACAATTATTTGTTATATTTAACAAATAATTCCTAACACCCCTCACCCAACCAACAAGCCAACTATGAGCGTCTATGGACCCTTCCCCCAAAATGCAAATAACCCCACAAGGACAGAACAGACATCTGGGGCCCGTTCTTCGTACGTCGCTAACTCAGTTAGCTGGATTTGATTGTTGACGATTTGGCATGCTCTTGGATTGTTTGGTTTTTAACGCTTTTCGTCAGGTGTCTTTATTAATTATATGATGTCATTACGTTGCTGTCTTGCCGCCAGCCAATCGCTGCATTGCTGATCGTGTTTTCGAGTATCGATACATAGCCCCTTTTAAACCAACCTATGACATTTGTGTGACATTTCATCTCGGATGTAATAAGCGACATACGAAGAACGGGCCCCAGGTTAGATTAGTTGATTGTAACAGATTAGTTGATTGTAATATTAATTCTGCTACAGTTACTACTGGTAGCTGAGGTAAATAATTGTAATTAATTATAATTAATTGTAATTATTTATATACATTTCCTTTTTGAGCTAATTTGCAATTTTTTTTAAATTTAATTACAAATACATCAAGTAAAAATGTCCATGGAATGATATGTATTAAATTATATAAAAAAAAACATCATAAAAAAAAAAAATAATCTATTAAAAAATGGCACTGTAATGTTACATATTCAAAAATGTATTTATATTAAAAGCCCATGTAATTGTATTTAAATAAATAAAAGGAACAAACGATCAATGTAATCATTTAACAAAACGTTTTAAAAGCATAGTAAATAATATAAATAACTATATTAACATGGCATTGATTTAAAAAAAAAAAAAATAATTGTATTACCACAATACATGTCCAAAAACAAAACAAAAATGTATTATGATGACATACAGTATATCCAATAAACCACGACATTAGTATGCTATATAAAAAGGGTATTATTATTATTATTATGTTAAAAATATCATGCTAATAGCTTAGAACATTTTTGGTTTTGTCAGTGGTTTCAGATGCTTTTTGTGTAATAAACATTAAGTCAGCATCTAAAACATTTAATCTAAAATGGTATTAGTACATTTTAACGTGGTACTTTTTCAAATAAACATGATATTATAATGTTAAAAATACCATAGCATGTTTTTTTTTTTTTTGTCAGTGGTTTCTAATGCTTTCATCTCTTAGACATTGAAGTCGAAGATTTGTCTCAAATTGCCTTGTTGTTCAGATCAGTTGTCATCCAGACACAAGATTATGGACGATGAGCTATTCGTAGAAACTGTCACTAGTCCTTGCGTGTCTGGACAACGTGAGATAAGGCCATAAATAGACAGAATTACACACGCTGATAACGTAACTGATAACAACCTGAACTCTTAGGGGTTCGACATTGTCAGGTTTATATGGCAAACAGTAATATCAGAAAACACGATTTGAGAAGCCGCATTCATTAAGTTATCAATTGCTGGCAAAGCTCTTGTGAAGGGCGTTCTGCAGTGCACGACAGCAGTCTATTTGTTCTGCTCGTGCTCGTTCAGGTTGGTCATTTATTAATAACGTCTTTGCCCAAGTATTGACAAAGTATTTTTTTTTTCCTATTGTCTGGACTTAAAAAATTTAAAAAGCACAGTATGTTTTATATTCTAAATCTTTTGTGTGTGAGTGTGTGTGCAAGGCTGCATTAAAAAAAAAATCAATTACAGTAACATTGCATAACAATTTAAAATAACTGCTTCCAATTTTATTGTATTTTAAAGTTTTATTTATTCCTGTGAAGGCAAAACTGAATTTATAGCAATCCTTACTCCAGTCATCAGTGTTACCTGATCCTTCAGAAACCATTCTAATATGCCGATTTGGTGCTCAAGAAACATTTCTTATAATTATCAATGATGAAAACAGCATTTTATTTTTGTGTTAACGGTAGACTATCCACAAAGGAATTAGAATGTATTAAAACATTAAAAAAAGCTAGACGGAAATTTATTCAGCATTGAGATGCTGAAAAAAGCAAGACGCTCTATAACAGCCAGAGATATTAATCAAGCAACTTTACATAGACCCACAATTTAGAAAAAATAGTGCATACAGATGCAAACATGTTCTATGTGAATGACCCGATAGACTTTGATCAGAACATGGTATCATCGAAGGCAACATGATGTTGCTTTCCATTATTTGAATAGCCTTTATATCGTGAGTGCACCTCTGATGCCTAAACATGCTCTTTAGGCAGCTCACTAGGTTTTGGAAGAGAGCTATAATCTCCCGCGGTTCTCCTCTATTATGCAGCTGTGCCCATGCGCAGGTGTAACACTTCCAATGACTTGGAAATATCTCAAAACACAAACGCTGTAATGGAACCGTGGGTGACAGATGCCTATAGGAACACTGCCAAGGAAGTGACGTGCATGAAAAAGCAATGAAATGCATTCTGAAGAACTGTCTTGGCTGTATAGACTCCAAGATTTGTGACTGTAAGTGATTCCCAATCCGGGAGCATCACCAACACTGTACATTTTGGATGCCTCCTTTATCTAATGCACCCGATTCAGCTCATCAGCTTGTTAATAGAGTGCTCATGAACTGAATTGGGTATGTGAAGGGACATGTACCAAATGTGTTGGGTACATGCTTGATTACCAGGATTGGGTATCACTGCTGTAGACCAACCTGCAGGAATGATGCCGATGCGAAGTCCACATGGCATAAGGGTCTCCTCCATTGAGTTCTCGTCCACACCTGCTTCTCGCTGTGTACGGGAGACAAGGCCATGCATCATCTCGCTGAACATGCCATCTCCTCCAACACACACCACACTGCAGACAGAGACAGCACTAATCACTTCAATGCATATTTGTTTAAAACAAAATTTTCTGTAGTGAATGGCAGAGCACAAATTGTCATATTAATGAAATTTGGTCATATTACAAAAATTGTCAAATGCTCTGCACAAATAAAATTGACAAAGGTAATTGCTACCATTTTTGTAACTAAAATTAAGTAAAAATATTCATGTTATTCTCAGGTAAGATGACGATAGAGCCTTCTCTGTGTGCCCCCCTTGACTTCATTGTGTGCTTGCTTTCATCACTTTTGTTTTTGTTCTTTTCATTGTTTTTTTGTCGTGCACTGGTTCGTTAAACTGAACAGCCAAAGGGTGATCTTTTCACCGACTGCCCAACACCAGTTCAACAAAATGTGGCCAACAGAGACAGTGCAGAACACACTGCAAAAGCTGATGGCTCAACAACGGCCTGACTTTGACCAACTGCCGACCATCGGCTTGGTGCGTCACGGCCTTAAGCGGTAGCAATAGCAGTAAGATGGAAGCCTTGTTGCTTGTGAGAATAATAGATGTGGTACCTGTACCGATAAAGTTCCGCAATTTTATGAGCTTTTATGTGTGAAAGTGGCTTGTGTCTAAACTGCTGTTCACAGAAATGCATGTTAAAAGGTACAGGAAAAAGATCCAGACCCAGCAGTCAGAGTTGTTTTGTGAATCTCGCCTCTAGCCCAGCTTTGAAGCAGCATCCATGTTGCTGTCACCAAAAGCCACTTTATTTTAATTCGTCATTTCCCAAGCTGCTCGCCATCATCTGCCGCAGTGCCAGGCTGATGTGCATTGATGTGCAAATGTTAATCTGAGCTTTGCTGCAGAGGACGCATTCCTCACTGGGCAAATTAAGAGTCGCCGCTCAGTGACCGTGATCTCCCAGCAGGACACCCACTCACCCGTCATACTTCTTCAGATCAGCCTCCGTCTTCAAGTGGTCCCTGGCATGATTTGCACGTTCGGTAACTATAGAAACAAAAGAGAAAAAGCCATTGTTAACGGCGACGATGACAGTGAGGCTGAGCAGAGGGGGGAGAAACATCATTATGTTCATCTGGCAGTTAAATTGCATTTTTCTGCTGGCTTGATAGAGACCATCAATCAGCCACATCAAACGATGAAGCTGAAGGTGGGGTAAAAAACAATCCCCAGTATATTTCATTACCGGTTCTTTACCATCAGCAGTGATGTAAAGCTGTAACTCAGAGGGATGTGCTGAAAATGAATGGGGCCTAGGACCGAGCCCTGTGGATCACGTTGATGATATATGCCAAAGGTGATGAATGGAGCTTATTAAACCGTCGGCAGAACATCTTGTTTGGCTCCTCTAATGATTTGGTTTGAATGGTATTTGTCCAGCCAGACATGTACTTTACCATTTACAAAATGTTCACATGGTCGTAAAAAGAAGACCTTCAAGCAACTGCTGAGTAAGACTGTAAGCCTCAGCTCTACCAGCCAATGTTCACGCCAACCCAGGGTCTTCCTCCCTCAAACTTAATAAATAATGGATGACTTTGCATTCCTATGTTTATCGACTATCACAGTTTGCATTATGGCCAGCTCCGGTGATAGATGGCGCTGTAAATAAAATCATATTCGTGGGATGGGTTGGCAGGTGGGGCCATTTGCCAACGGAGATCTATTTGCGAAGCATAAAAGCTCATTTTTTATTTAAATGTTAATGCAGGCGGCTGACGGGCACTCACCAATCACGTCGGTGGAAATGGAAGCCCGGGAAAAGATGGGGGCCACTTTGTGGTCGTAAATCTGCTTCCCAAGTTGTTTTCCTCCGTAGGGGTTGATGTACACTAGCAAATTCTTCGGTCGATTGGCTGCGGAATGAGAAGCGGTCAGAGCATTAAAGTGAGTTTTTGTTTGACAACAGTCATCCTAGGCTGTCAAAATTACTTCATTAAGTTGCTTTTGAAAAACTTCATCTGATGTGACAACATAGAGAAGACCAAAACTGTACTTATGCCTACACTAGAATCCAAACACCCCAAAAGTTTCCATAGGATTGGTAAGAAATATTATGGGTTATTTCAAATGTACAATTATTTTCTCAGTGTTCTAAACTGGCGCAACTGAGTGGAATTTGCCTGTCCACACTTAGAGCATATCAGAACATATTTGATATGTAATATACAGCTGGATTAAGATTTTTAACCAATAAGATTCCACTTTGGGCGGAGCTACTGAGCACAGACCAGAAACAAAATGGCTAACAGAAATACCAGCTATTTTGGCAGATTAAAACACAGATTAAAAGGGAAGAGAGATTTTATCACGCTATGTCAACAAGGAATTAGTGTCCATTACTTATTTATACCATAATTATGTACAGTACCAAATGTGTGGTAGTAATTGACTATAAATGAATGAAAAACGTGTTTACAGTAAATTCACATGTAATGGACACCGAGCAACTATTTTGCAACTATTACTTTTTTCAAAAGTATAAACATGTTACTGAGGTACACACAACTGGTGTGAAAATCACTGACCGACCTATAACAATAACTTACCTTTTTTTGCTATAGTGTGAAGTGACGTGTGGACAAGTGACGTGTGGCCAAGTATGGTGACCCATACTCGGAATTTGTGCTCTGCATTTAACCCATCCAAGTGCACACACACAGTAGTGAACACACATACCGTGAACACACACAGTGTGGAGCAGTGAGCAGCCATATTGCTGCGGCGCCCGGGGAGCAGTTGGGGTTTCAGTGCCTTGCTCAAGGGTCTCATCTCAGTCGTGGTATTGAGGGTGGAAGAGAGCACTG